AAAATAGCTCACGAGTTATTTTTATTACGTATAAATGAGTGTAGGCACCCGTAAATATATCAATCGACACCGACATCACGTTATTGACGAATTCGCGATGTTGTGTTGATCTCGTGGTCTCATCGTGGCGATCACTGTAGAGTACAACGTAATCCCCCGAATCCGAGTGCGATAAACTGAGTACTTATGTAGGTACTTAATACGGATTTTTTTGTGGTTTAAAACCGTGAGGATTTGAATTATCGCCGGATATATGGTGACTATTGTGAGTTCGGAGTTTAGTTATAAAACAGTAAAATATTTAATTGGTGATTAACTGTGTCGCGTCACCGCATTACCATCTACCACTTTTTCATATATTAAAATAATCGCAACGAGTTTGCCCGACTAAATCGCATTAATCAGCAGTAATAAAACAATTATTGAAATATCTTTGGCTATTAAAACCCGAGTGTCGAACAATATATTATTAAAATAAATCGTCTAGTGCAATAGAAATAATAATAACTATTTGTATAGTAATACCTATTGGCTATTACCTACCAACGTCACACCCTTTATCCGTCTTGCAAACGTAAGACATGGACAATTTGCGTTCAGCAGTTCCGATTTTGTGTTTTTAGGTTTAATCATGGTGAGTTGATGACCACTGGCTATCATCAAAGTAAAATGTGGGAACATTGTCCTGTGTTTTATCATATCGTTTTTGAATATTTTACATATTATACACTACTAGCTTTAAAACCATGATTTTACTTTTAAGTTTGATTATAGTTTAATATTAACTTTAACATTTATTTAAACACCAAATTTGAACTGACGAACGTAAATCTCGGTACCGCTATGTCATAGGTATAAGAAGAGTAAGGCAACATAAGCGAGTACTCTCAATAAAATGATCACTAAAGTATAAAACTTATCTCAATATCAATGTGCACTACATAACATAATATTGAAATATATTTTATAGGGATTAGTTGAGTATCTGAGTTTTATTCATTCAGGTCGAATGGATAAAATCACGGTACTCGCGAGTTTATTGTATAGCTGTAAGCGTTTATGAACCCCATATGGTAATAACACAGTCGTGCGAAACTCGATCGGAAGCGAACGTATAAACGAGACGTCGACACTTCAATGTATTTATTATTATTATGCCATATGTGCTTTGACACGATATTATTTTAATTAAAATGTGCATATTGTGTCACGTAACCACAGATGCCTACACACAGCTACCACGATTTGCATCGTGCATGGTGGAAATAAAAACTCTCAAATCACTCATAAATCTCAAATATTATACTTCGTATTTATTCGACGAAAATTGATGTAATTTCTAATTTTATTTTAGCGTTTAAATACACTATTTTAAAAGTATTTTACCCATCCCTGCAGGTTGAAACGCACAAACGGAAGACGCGATATTTTATTCTCACGACTTATTGTTTTTTTCTCCGGATGACAAAAGTAGGTCCTTCGTGAGACACGCTTTCTGTCTCGTTGTCATATAACTCGCCTGTTGTTCAAGCGTTGACCACCGGATCTACGAGCTACAGACATTTGCAGTCATAATAATTATACCTAGGTAATGGTCGTCGGCGAGTAAAATATTATTAGTTAATGCACTACGTGCTATGCAGTCGTTATATTTTTGCCTTCCGCCGGCTTGCCCATTTATGTTGGCGCAGTGTACAGTCAGAGATTACCAGAGATTGGGAATTTGTAGAATAATTGTAATTGGTACAAAACACTATTACCTGCGATTATTGTCATTATATTTTATGATACGTTTATCACACGTTGTATGCACCGAAATCGAACAATAGCCACGAGAGGGTGTTACTACGCAACGGCGAAATTCGAAATGACGAAATGTCCATCGTGAGGTAACGGCTGCATCGTTTTTATATTATGCTAGTCGGGAATTTATTTATTTTCAGCTGCAGGTATAAACTCGCGTGCCGCCGTCGTGCGTGACGAAAATTTGGACAATTTTTTTATCACCCCACTTTATTATTTTTTTTTGAAAACACGATCGACCTTGAACGGGGCATACAATATATTAAAATGAATTATACGCGGGTGGGAGGAATAATATTATAATATTAAGTAATACGAATATACGTAGGTATTAGTACGTACGCACGATGTAATAATATTATTAAGACATGACCGGTTTGTAAACTACGTCATATATACCTACCGTACTCGACCATAATATTATTATTTATTCTTTGCTACAGTGTTATTCATAATATATAAATATCGTCCCAAATGTGGTTCGCTCACGTTTTGAATGCAGACTGTATTGTGTATAGTGGAGAAGGATCACTGCAAGGGTACACGAACGTCGCATCAAGACGTTTTGTCCGAAATGTCTATGCAGGTAGGTTGCACTAGTCGTGAATTTTGAAGTTTATGTGAAAAAAGTGTCCCCGCCTCGCCGGTCGCCGAAAGGGGACACCAGTGATGGGAGGGGTTAAGCGGTGAGCACTTTCACCTGGAACGACGTATCGTCACGGAACGGAGGTCAAACTTGCCTGTACAGGTATGGCTGCGACGATAGGTATTAAGAGGGGCCATGACGGGGACACGACTTGTGTGGAAAGTCGCCGTTCCATCCGCGGTTCGATTTTGTATTTTTTTTTTTTTAATATATTTTCGAACCACTTTTGCGAAAGTTTTGAGTGCCATTGCGTAAAATCTATGCATGTATATTGTTAGGAGACGGCGTTAAAATTCAGCCAGCGTGAGGGGGGGTCTTGGTAACAAAAACTAGTTTTTTCTACTTCCACTCGTTGACTCGTCTTGTTGTCATTGGTTCGTTACTGGCGCGAACGATCAGCACGTTAACGACGGATTTCGTAGTTCGTATCGACTTAACAGTCGTATGTGCGACGACGACGACGAAAACAGCGTTATTGTAGGACAACCTCCCGATTTTCCGACCGGCATAATAGTCGGCTAAAAGTACTGGCACAGCTCACGTGACTCGTTCGTGACTAGTGACTACAACCAAGTGAGTATTATGCTTATCGGTTGTATATGTATAATAGGTATACGGTATACAGTATGCGTGTGTAGGTCTAAACTCACAGGACTGACAGTCGACAATCGAAATATGCGTGCATGTGCATGTGTGCGAGTGTGTGCGTAAGTGGTTATATTGGGTTATTATGTGTGGACAGGGTGTGGGGGCCGAAAAACCGGTTAGGAAAACTTCTAATGGATTTTGGAAAGCAAATAAATACGTCGACGGAACGCCATGATAATAATGAAATATAATATATTAATATATACATTGTAAATTATAATGGACGGGCCAGGAGAATTCCTAATATTGTTATTTTCATATAATATTACATTATACATAATACTGGTGTACGAGGTAGATTTGGTAGGTAGGTTTGGGCGCCCAATAAATTTCGGTTTTTATGTCCGATTGGCGATCACCTGTATGTAATAACTAATAAGTATGCAAGTCCAGACGCGTCTCGGATCACGCCCATCGTAGCCGTAAAATATATTTTCGTATTTAAAACGACCATGACGAGTTCTCTCACCCTAACAGTTATCCCAGCGCTAAAGGGTGCACCACCGTATTAATGATATTGTGGTGACTGCCGTCGATAACGTGTACGAAATAGCCGGACAAAACGTCAAAAATAAGAAACGACTTCAAAACGGTATGGTTTATGGTATATAGGGTTTTAGAAGTATTTAAATTCTTGTAATACCTCTGGTACGAGCTTTAGCGAAGTTCGAATATGAAATCGGGAAATCAATAAGTAGGTAGTAGTTTTGTTTGAAAAACCCGAGTGCGCCGTTATAACAATATACCACGTGTGGACTTTGATCGCTGAAATTCCAGATTAACAGTGTTCCCGGTTTCGACGAACATCTTGATCGGATGATTCATCTCGGGTTATTTTCATATGCGATCCGACCTACATGCGCTCCCGGCCAACGAATATAATGTACGCGTACCAGTAGCCAGCGTACGTGCTGTTCGTGCGGCGCATACGGAACGAAATTTGAAAAAAATATTAGTACTTCTATTGTGCCATGTTTCTTAGTAAAAAGGACGTGTTTCGACACGTCCTTTTGTTAACGTACCGTAAGGGGTGGTCCGACCTTGGAAGTTAGGGTTCGACAATATATACAGAACCGAGCGACCGGCCGACCTCCCCCGAATTTCAGAAAGAGAACCCATTCATCCTATTTCTCCCCTTTTGCTGCATACTGCATAAATAGTCGAATGGCGGGAATTTCACCGGTTCACAATAAAATAATAATCCTAGTAGACGTTATTGCGTTATCAAACGTTTACTCTCCTACATAAAGCTTGTGCGGATACAAAGTTCCTACTTCCTATACTTATCGTTATCACCGACGTCAATCCAATTTTCGTTTTGCGGCCGGACAACTCTCATGAGATTTGTCTACGCACAATAATATTAACAATAGTAAGACCCTCGTATAAATACCAATTATAAGTGATACGAGGAATAAACCAAACAGCCTGTACGGCAAGATCTAAGGTCCAAAATGCTCTCCCGGATCGCAGCTCTCTTCGGTTAAAGGATTTTTTTGATAGCGTTCCGTATCGTACATTCAAGGATTACGCAACAACAGTTGTTTAAAAATAGATTTTGCGGAACAGCGGCTGCAGCGCGACGACGACGACATGATTACATTATATTATTATTATACGAGTGCATAGCATCAAATTAAAAAAAGGTTATGGTCTGTAGAAAAAAATGTGTCGAAAATATATTATTATAATCGTCCTCGCCGCAAAGAGCACGCGCCCAAGCACCGCGCTAAAAATACGCGTCGTAAGTCCAAAGACACCCTCCCCTTAGGGAAGGGGGCAATCATCGATCTATACGTTCTATTTTGCTATATTCCTATGCTTTATCACAGGTTTTGTCAACAAGCAACGATGATAATAATACGTTATACAAATCAATTGTACATAAAATTATTATACTCACATCTTCTGTGCATAAATTGTTTCCGGGGTACGGAATCGGAATGTATTACTCGTCTCGGTGACCGAACTCGCCGTGTTCAATAATTTACGATCAAACTCTAATATTCTAGTATTGCGGACGACGACGACGATAGGTTGCACTCGGAAGAAAATCGATCTCGGGCACGCCTCGGGGCGAACGTACGTGGAATTGGAAAAAAAATTAAATATTTAATGGGACGTAGGTGGGTATTTTTTTTTTTCACACCGACAAACAAACAACTGTTCGGATGGTTGGTGACGGTTGCTTCAGCGGTGGTTGTACGCGGGACGACGGGACGGATAAATGAACCGGCGGCGGGCGTACGATAAACTGATCGCGGTGCTCGCCGGCCGGCCGTATATATATAAGCCGCGGCGGCGCCCGTTTCCCTTTCCACCGCGCGGTGCACGGAACGCCAGCGCCGCTACCGACCCGCCGCCGCCGGGGTTGTCGGTGCCGCGGCGGTGGCGTCGAGGGGTCGAGCCAAGTCCAGGTGGGGGAGGGGGTTTCGCGGGTAGTCGGGGTGGTGGCGGTGTGATGGTCGAGTGGTCGAGTGGTCGAGTGGACGAGTCTTGTGCACGTGGTCGGACTGTCGAGATTTTTATTGTTTCAGCTTAGGCAATAGGTGTGTATTACAATGCGGTGCAATGGAATTATCTGCAATAATTATTTATCATCATAATTCGCGATATTTTACGATACGTTTTGCCCGAGCACACACAATAATAATAATTGCCGTGGATTTGCACGGATTTGGCTTTGCCGTTATCGCGAACCGCGGCGGGCGGCACGAGGGGTGGTTCACGTGTTTTCGGGCTGCACTAATACATTGGTATTATTATCCGAAAAGCCCATGTCATATTTCATACACGCCGAGTTATATGCATCGTGTGTCGTTATTGCCTATTATAAAACACCTTATGGCTTATGATACGATACACAGTGACGCGGTCACACGGCTTTGTGGCAAGTGTGTGTCGCGCCGCCATCGCGGGTTATCAGCTGCTATAGACCCAACGAAAAATAGAGTACGTACGTACAAAAGAGACTTACCCGAATGGCTATCGTTCACAGCGGGGTGGGAGAAGTGCAGTATTTGTCCAACGACCGCAGCTGCAGGTGTACGCCATAATCTTATTTAGATTCGTATAGGTATTTTAAGACTGCAATGATATGATATTGTTATTTTCGTAACGATAGGTTCACGAAATTACAATCCCGTCCATGCCTCTTGCACACACCTCTTTATCGGACACGATGTCAAATGTACGCCACCCGATCGACGGCGATATTTGATCATATTGAATACGTTGATAAAAAATATTAAAATTTAATATTATAATATAACGTCGTAATATTAGCATGAGCCCTGCTCGGATGATGCTACTGCAGTAGAATCAAGTGTGGTCGATAAGGTACTCAACAATCAACATATTATTTTATAAATACCTTCTGTTACATTTAAATCATAATAGTAAAATATTATTAAAGTATTATACACAATATTATATCATTTATATCTGTCGCACATGTCGAGTCGACACTAATAATTTATTGTTGGATATGATGATTTAAGTACCTCTACTTACATATGACTATAGAACAGTAATAAGTAAGACAGAACACAGAAGTAGATCAGAGTAATACAATGTTATTATTCGTATTATTAAATACGTATAGGTATTCGTTTTGAAACTGACGACCTTGCTGTGGATACCTATATTATACTACATTATGATATTTTAACAATTTTAATACAACTTGATACGATGCATATTATATTACATTTATACAATATTATTGTGTCAAGTCTGTATTAGCTGCTGGCTGCTGCAGTATATAATATTATGTATTATGCAAATGATGCGGTTGGACTTATGACTTTAAAACTGTTAGACTATCAGTTTCCAGCATTCTTCTCAGGTAAGGTTATTAGATTAGACTTAGATCTACATTGTTTCTCGACGATAACGCACAAATCCGTCAATTATTATTTGAGTATCGTACAACAAATTATAATATTATAATAATGTAATAAATAATAATATATATAATGCACTATGAACCTCTTTAAATACCTTTATAATATTATACATTGACAAAATGTTTAAAATATACGACGAATACCTTGGAAAAAAACGACTTACTTGAGCAATTATTCGAAATCCTGAGATTCGGTGAAGAAGCGAACACCGAAGTTTTAAATTTTTTGAAAATGACAGAATTAGGTGTATACCTTATTTTAATTAATTTAGTAAAATATCAAAAAAAATATGGGTTTTTTTTTAAAAAAAAAAGGAAAAATGTAATTAAAAAATTGTACGCCAACAACCATTGTCGTTGATGAGTTTTGTTCAAGAAAAAAAAATTGTATTTGTATATTATAATCCAACCCGTAAAATAACTAATTTCACATTTCATAAGTACAATTACGTGTTATCCAGTGATCCGATTTCCCGGAAAACAACTCACGTTGAATCAACCGAAAAAAAACCAAACCTTAAAGTGGGCAAGTCTGTTATTGTTGTAGTAATATACAATTATGTATTATGTTTATCGTTTAATAATTTGAACGTACATTCTAATAAAATTCCTTTCGATTAAATTGAAGGGCTCGTTCGAATCGTCCTCGGATATTATAATATTATACTATATATAGCTGTTATAACCTACCTATTTTTTTCTTTGTTGACGGGTATTCGCCGTTTTGTACAATACTCGCCCCAACCTGTTAATTGTTATAGGTACCTTTATACTTATTTATAGAACCCAACCGTATCTTTAATATTAATTATTGAGACATAAGGTAAGGTTACGGCAACGGATTGTAAAACGTTGACAATTTTATTCATACTATACACAAATTGTACTTAAATATTATAGTGAATTTTTCGCGTTTATTAAAAGGAAGTTTTTAATTTTCCAACAAGAATAATTTAAATAAAGTTAATTACAAAATGATCCCTTATAATACCACCACTATATATAGTCGCTACAACTTTCCATTTTGATTATTTTTGTACAATCTTTAGGAAATCCTGTAAATACTTACAAACACACACAGTATATACGAAAGAGTATATTTTAAATATTTATGTGTGTTTTATTATCTATGTTAATTTTGTTTTAAAACGTTTTACACATTATTCATATAGAATTAACTTAAATAAAGTAAATACTTCGTTTAAACGGTAATCCATGGTACATATTAATTACAATGAGCGTATGAGAAATAATTAACTACCTACTACAAAATATTATAATTTATAGCTTGAAACCATTTGGAAATTTTAACCTACATAATATTTTAGTTATAATCGGTATACTATAATAGGAAGGATGATTAACCTTAGATTAAAATATTTTTTTTCGTTTCGCCATTCATTCAGGTGGGATAATCGAAATCATCGTCTAGTAGTCGTCATATAATATATTTGTGTGAGGCTCCTATATAAATTAAAACATACATATACGGTGTATGTGTTTTTGAAAGTACGACGTAGTGACGTCAGTATAGCTTATTTCCACATTTGACATTACCTATATATATATATAATTTGTAGGGGCTGTCAAATCAGTGCCTCTGTGATCGACGTACTTCAAAATCTATCGTTCTGGACAATACATGACAATGTACAAGGGTGTATTAAAAAAAATTTCTTCCCACAATTCCAAAACGGCGCCACCGATCGCTGACATCCTGTTTACACCGTGTGGTTATATTTTCGTGAACCTATTTATTATTAAACGCGTATTTAATAACAAAAAGTATGTAGTATATAAATACCTATAAATACCTCTACGTATAATATACTATAACCGACCCCGCGAACTTCATTAATCATAAAAAGTACAAATTCTTACTTATTAATTCAAACTTTATTCAATTGTTTATTTAAAGTATTTGGTGTAGTGGTATAACATTTAAAAAAAAAAATAACAAATAAGTAGCAAGTAGAAATAACCGCATGGGTTACGAATTTAATTTTTAGTCGGAGCAAGTAAAAATTGTGGTGCTTAAATATCAGTCAAGTTAAAATTATATCCAATCACAATCATAATAACAATTTTATTTTATGTAACCATCATCTATAAACAAAAAATTTCAATCTTGAATCTCAAAATCCTTGTGTGACTGAATAAGCACTTCTTTAAAATGCGAATTTTGAAACATCCTTTCTTATTGCATCACTATTATACCTACATGGTGGTACGGAGGTCTACAGTAAAAATGTCAAGTTCCTAGCTATCATAATACTTTAGACTTTAGGCTCTGAGTTGATCAGTCGTCAGTCAGTCATAACACATTCAATTGAATGCTTTTCATTGCTGAATCGATTTCGATATATACATTATACATAAATTCATACATACACTATATATATATATATATATATAGTATGTAAACTGCCAGTTAGTAATTTACGTTATCCGCGAACTTTCGTTTGAAATTTTCGATCGTATAAATCTCATTTTTATTAAGCTTATCGGTGCAGTAAAAAAACGAAAGCCATGTATAATATAATAAATGGCAGTAGGTACGTAATTAATTGTATAGGTACACCATCATATAGACGTATAATATAGGATCATGTATCTCAAACGATTTGTCGACTTCTTAAGAGACACTATTCGAGTGTAGCAGCAATACGAGTATAAGTAGCTTCGAGACATTTTGTAATTTAATTGGACTGGAATGTCGAAGATTATTTTACCGACAATTTCTACGAAATAAAATAATAATTAAACTCTTATTTTAATTGAAAGAATGTTGCTGTGTTGAAATGGATTATTAATAAACATGGTGATTCACCAAGCATGCTCACCCCCTTTTTCCTTCGATAATGCAGTTAGGTATTCAAAATCTATTTATTTAATCATCTTTTCAAATTCTTGAGATTTTTTGTACTACTTAAGGAGTACAAACTTCTGCTTTTCAAATAAGAATTAATTCATAGTTGAATAAGGATATTCAACTATAAATTCTTAGATAATTTTTCTCAAATTTTTGGCGTATTAAAATCAAAACTCGTACGAGTAGTTTTTGAGTTATTTAACTTTGAGTTCTAAGGATAAAAAGTCCATAGTAATGAATTATAAGATATGACAAGGCTTTAGTGAATTGAAAATTGTAGTCATCAATATTAATCTATCAACATTAATAATTTGTTAGTATGGTCCAAGTTAATAAATACTAGATCCAATTTTACGTATAGTTTGTATTTATTTAAAACCAGATTTAAGGATTATTATCAGTATTATCCTTAATACAAACATTTTACTAACTATAAGAAACTACTCATTCGAATCTTGATTTGAACATCAACATTTTC